GAACTGTGTTTCCAACAGTTATAAATGCAGCATACAGGCCAGTCGGTGACATGGTAGTTAAGGTAGCTGGATCTTATTTGGCTGACTGCATGGTTTGAGGGTCCCAGACACAGCAGCTTGAAAAACACACTTAGTGTGTGTGTGTTTATTCCCCAAATTCCAGGAGGATAAAGGAAGAGAAGGGATTGTGGCATGGTTATCCCCTGGCAGGTACTTTCTCATGTTTCCTTTCTTTTTCTCTTTCTCTCTAGTGAGCACGTGTGTCCCCTAGCAAAGTTTTTTAAAAATTACAAAATAAAATGCAGCATACCAATTTAACCTCACGTGCAGTCCATGCTAATTCAGGCGTTCCCCATCAGCATGTTTAAGCATTTGTGATGTACATCTCAGACTGCAAACAACAAAAGACAGTTTGTGAATTATGTTCTCTCAACTTCTTCGGCATTACAAATCAAAACCCATCTTGCATCTGCTCAAAATCAGACTAGGCGTGTGTTAACACGGTCAATGGAGAAGACATTACACACACACGCACACACACATGCACACACGCACATTTTATGACAGTAATACTGTTTTACAATTTTATCAAAATCTAACATTCACCAGTGTCATACGCTTAACAAACTGGATTGAAACTATGCATTGATGAACACATAGTTGTTTTTGCACAGTGCTTTTTAAATTTTCTTTCTAAATTCCTTAAGGTTTAGAAAGTCTATTAATAGCTTTTATGGGACCAGCAGGTGGTGTGGTAGTTGGGATGCTGGGCATTCCCACATGGCAGACCGTGGTTCAAGTCCCAGACCTGGGACTTTCCCTCTTTCTCTCTCTCTATCTGTGTCTCTCTCTGGTCAAATTAAAATAAAATGAATGAATAAATAAATAATTCTTAAAAAAATAGTTTTTTATGTTTTTTGTTTGTTTTGTTTTGTTTACATTTATGTATTTACCTATTGTAAGTTTCAAGCCGCAGGGTCCAAGACTCAAACTGCAGTTGGCCGTGTGGGAGTCTAGCACCTTAACCACCATACCTTCTGCTGGCTTTTTTCTTAGTTTTTTGGTTTGACAAACACAAACCCTTGAATTGTTAGGTTAGAAACTAACCAGATGAACACAGAACAGGGGGGACTTCTGTAGCCCATAAATAGTAAACACAGAAACCCAAGACAGGGAAAACCACAAAAGAAGTCAAAAGTGAGAGAGATGATGCAGGACCAGAAACAGGATTAAGTGCTTGACTTAAACCACCTACAATTATTGACCAGCCCTGTTCTGGTCCATTCCATTACTAATAATGGAAGATATCTGAGCCTGAATAATTTAAGAGACTAGAGGTTTATTCCGTTCATGGCTTAGAGGTTGAAGGTCGGAGATCACATCTGGTGATGGTCTTCTCGCTGGCAGATGATGTGGCAGAGGACAAGGCAGAACAAGTGCATAACAGAGCACATCACTGTCTCATTCCCACTCCCTATAAACCCACCAGAACTCAACCATGAGGACTCCACCCTGATGCCTAATCTCTTCCCAAAGGTCCTACTTTTTAACATCATAATCCAATTAAGTTCCTGTTAATGCCTTTATAATACAATCAAATTTCCAGCACAAAAATTTATGGGGAACACATTCAAACCACAGACAATAGTGTGAAAGAAAGTCTAAGAACAGGGTGTTAATCCGGAGGATGATAAAAAATAAATCAAAGAGCTGGATGTCTCAATGGAGTCAAAGAAAAGTAATATTGGTAGTATGAATGAGGTAGCTTGAAGAATTGGGAACTGGTCAGAGAGTAGTATATAAACATTTCTATTTTTTTTTTTTTTGAGAGAGAGAGAGAGATTTTTGGTATAGGACACATAAGCTCACTGGGGAGATGGAGAGACACCGAGAGACAAAAAGCAAGAAATCACCCCCCATGGGGGATGGCCACACAGCAATCCCTTCTCCTCCATTATCCTCTCAGGATTTTGGGCACACATACATACGCACCTGATGTGAGTAGAAGCCACTGGGTCCAGGACTCAAACCATAGTCTACTACATAGGAGACCAGCACCATAACCATTATACCATCTGCTGGTCCCTGTAAACATTTCAAAGGTAAAGCCATTCTGGGTGTTGGCATAATCCTGTGTACAGCAGGAAATTGAACAGAATTAATATAAATGTTAATAGAACTGAGCCAGTCTGTTAATTACCTAGTTGTTAAGGGAGCTGGCTCCCATATGGCCAATGTGATTTGAATGCTAGCCCTGGAAGCTTGAAAATACCATGGGCCCATGTATACATGTGCCTCAAATCCTGACAGAATGAAGAAATGAAGAAGAAGGGATTTCAGCATGACCATGACTCCATGGGGTGGGAGACACTTTTTCCTCTCTGCCTCTCTCTAATGAGTGAATGCACCTTCTAGCAATGAAAAAATATATATTAGTAGAGCTGACAGAAATCAAAGAGTGGAGCAGAATAGAGCCCATGGGACTACTGAAATAACTAGCATAAAAACTGGCATTTGAGTAGAGAGGGAGATACAAAAGCAATCAAGGGCATTGGTGAAAAGAAGGGTAGGAGGTGCCAGAAGCAGATATTGTGAACTTCAAAAGAGAAGGGAATTGTGCCAGATCGTCCTTTAAAATGGAAGCTGTAATGCAATCAAGTGGGGCCTAAATAGTTCCATGTGATTATAAAGGGATCTGAGCCACATGAATTTTTATTGCTGTGAAGGGATATCCAGACTTATATCTCTTCTGTTGGACTTCACAAACAGCTTCAGGATCATTCAAGAGAGAAATTCTTTCTTCTCTCCTTCATTACAAAAGAATGCATTTGAAAGTGCTGCAATGAAAATGGCACAGAACCAACAGTGAAGAGCACTGGGCTAGGATGCTTCCTCTGTCCGGTTTCCCCTCCCTGGACATCATTTTCCCCATCTGTTTCCATTCATTCATCTATTAATGTGTAATTCACAAATGTGCAAGATACAATGCTACATACATAAACGCTGCAACTGAGGGTGACCTCCAAGTTCTCCCCATTCAGTGATACCAATACATGATAGAAGTTAAGACAAGGAAGAGTTAAAATTACTATAAAAATGTAAATTATATTACATTGTTAATATATAAATAGCATATTATTATTAATACTTTACTATTCCCATTACTTTGTTACATTATCGTTTTCTCGAACCATGACAATAAAATAAATAAAACTCAACAGTTCAGAATAGTCTCCTATTGAAACCAGTCAACAAAGAAATCTCTCCTTTCTCTTAACCCTCTTCCTGAGTGAGTTAGTCTCCAAGGACAATGGTGACTTTTCAATCTCCAGTCACACCTTCTTATCAAATCTAATTATCACAAAGTTAAATCAATTAGCATCACTCTGATTAGCATAAACATCATCCTGTCTTGTCTACCTTCAAGTGCTTCATTCCCTTGGTATGCTGTCAGGGTCCAGAGAGGCCAGACACAAGTCCTTAGCACAGTTAAGTCGTATTTGATAGGGTCATACTGTATCCCGGTGCAGCATGTCTGCCATTAGCTAAGACACAGCTAGTATCCATAGGCCATAGGCTCATTCATTGACAAAGTTACTGCTTGTTTCGTAACACACTGTACCCATTCCCATCACCTTATGTCTTGGCAGTTTGGCTTGGCCTCTGTGCTGATCAGCAAGCTCAGGAACAGAGGACAGCCCTCTGTATAAAAAAAGAGGCACCAAGAAAGGTGGTGAGAGTAGACACTTCAGGTTAGGACCATCAGTAGGAAAGATAAGGACTGGAAAAACTAGTTGTACATTCTGCCATTCTCCCTACCTTCCTTTCTTTTGTATCTGCTAATGCTTGAAATTTGCCTGTTTGTAATTAATAAATACTTATAATAAAATCTCCATAAAAACTGTCAGAATTGTTGCAATTCGAGGACACATTGTCTACAAAATTCCATCTTACGTCTTTCTTTTCAAGGTGGTTGTCATTCCCAGTCTCAACCCTGGCCCCACATTAGAATGAATTGACAGTGGGCCTCATCTCAGAGCAATCACATTAAAATTGGATGGGCAGTAGGCAGGTGTCAATGTGTTTTCAAAAGTTCCAGGTCATTCTATAAGAACCAGTGTTTTAAGAACAACTCTAATACCCATATTTTCCAACACTTCCAAACTTCCTTATCCACCTGTCCTGGAGAACATGAAAATATGTGGAAAACATTCTTTTACAAAGACAGGAGCAAAGGTTTTTAAATCTTAAAACCTGTCTTGCTGGCCTGTGTAATTCTGTGATAAGGAAACCATATCAGATTGGAGGACATAGTTAATGTCTTAGAGAGTTTATATCCTCAAAATGATCTACTAGGCCTATTAAAAAAAAAAAAAAGCTAGGCTCATAAATGCATGTTACACATTACTTTACCCATGATTTCAAAATAGCCCACATAGGCCATTTTTAGATTGGAAAAATAGTTGAAATATTGACAAGGGGACTTCAAAATATACATGGAAAAAGAGAGTTAGAATATGAGTTTATACTGGCACAACAACATTTGAAATTTATGCATAGTATTTTCATTATATGCATTTTCTATGACCTTTTTGAATAATATGTGTATGTCTGTGGCCTTCTTTTTAATAAGCAGGTTTTTTGGTGGGTTTTCTTTTTCTTTTCTTTTTCTTTTTTATTTAAAAAATTGTTTTTTTTACAAATTTTGAGTTTATGCCTTTTTGAGAATCATCTACAGGTCTTTTACTCAAAATTTCACATGCCTTCATCCTCCCTCTCAGAGTTTCCCAAGATATGAACTGCTTTTATGGGTGGGGGGGGTGGAGAGTGAAGGGGAGGGTGTTTTTGTTTCTCTATAGCATTTCTGCTCATCTTAGTCACTTTAACATTCACAGGCTCATGACTCAAACATACTTGTCAATACAAGAAAACAGGAAGCCAAGAAAATGGCTCTCCTTTGGTTGAACTTTGGAACTCAGGCAATCCAAATTGACAAAAACTCCAAGTGCAAATAATAATTGTTCCCCATTCTCTGGCTCTGCAGATAAATGCTTTACACAAAGTGCAGTCACACGACTCAGAACTGCCCAGGGAGATGAGCATGTCAGCCACCCAGAGCTTTGCCTTTGTACTGTGCATTCTAGAAATCAGTGTCCTGACAGCGGAGTCCACGCCCAGGTGAGTCCATCATGCTTCCCTTTGTCTCTGGACTTTCACGGTAGGATTTGTCATTTCAAGGTCTACTGTCTAGCAGTAAAGTAGGTAAAAATGTTAATCCACATGTGATACATAAAGTCACAGAATTTAAATTAAGAGGTGGGATCAGCAGATGATGTAATGGTTACATTGCTGGATTCCCATGTACCTGACCAGGGTTTGAGTCCCTGACCAGGGGGCTTGGAGAATAGAGGAAAAGGGATTGCAATGAGGCCATCTACCCTGGGGCGGGGGGCATTCTCACTTTCTGTCTCTGTCTGTCCAGTGAGCGCATGCACCCAATAGCAAAATCTCACTAAATAAATAAATAAAATAATAAAATAAATTTAAAATTAAGGAAACCAATCTTGTCTTGCCTCAACTTCACTATCTGACATTTTTTAATGATCAGCTCCATGGCCCTTTTGTCAGCACTGTAGGCAGAGTTTAATCATTTGCTTCTCTCCTTGATGTCCAAGTTGTGGTTAGTGGCACATATTTTGTCTTGGGATTATTTCTTACATTCAAGAAGAATCACTGTGGCGTGGACCCGTCAGTCATGATTCTAGCAAAGGTGTGTTTTCTCCTCTTCCTGTGATCCTAACTGGGACTTCAAAGCCCATCCATGCATCCCAACTCCATCCAGGAAATAACTCAGGCAGACAATAGGCTCTTCCTGAACATTTGCACTGCATTCAGAAATGCTGGAGGTTAGGGGGACCAGCAGTTAGCATAATGGCTATGTCGCTGGACTCTCATGTAGTCCACCACGGTTCACATCCCAGACCCAGTGGCTTAAACTCATGCCAGGTGCGTGTGTGTGCATGCCCAAGATCCTGAGAGGAGAATGGAGGAGAAGGGATTGCGGCATGGCCATCCCCCTTGGGGGGTGATTTCTCGCTTTCTGTCTCTCTGTCTCTCTCTGTCTGTCTGGCGAACGCATGCACCCTATAGCAAAAACCTCTAAAAAAAAAAAAAAGAAAGAAAAAGGAAATGCTGGAGGTTAGGAGTCAGATGAGGTATGCTTCCTTCCCTCCAGGCGACTGGGAGAAGACTCTAATCTGGATGACCCACTACAGTGTGACTCTGTCTGGTAGCAGGACAGAGATATTCCTAACTACAGCAGGAGAGCTGGGGGAACTTCTGCCCAAGCACCATTCCTCTGCTCCAGCATAACCATAACCTGCATTCAATCTCCCTTCAGTCATTTGCCTCTTGGTTTAACCAGATGGCCTTCTGGGCGCTGAAGCCCGTCTCAAGCACATCTTCATTGCCTCTAGGCTGCAGTGGAGGCCATCAATTAGCCAGGGCTCCCTTTGCCAGGTGGTTTGTTTGCAAGGCTGCATCTTCCAGGAGGCCCAGGGGCATGTGCTGGGCCAGACTAGTCTTCATCCCATACTTCCTCTTCCCATGTTATCTATAAATCACTGTGCCATTCTGAAAATATTGTCATTTACTAGGCATTGGGGTACAAAGGAGGTTTGGAAAGGCAGTTACTGAAAGTCGCTTTAACCCTCTTGTGCTTAACCTGACCCTTTCTTAAGTTATAAAAACATAATTTAAACAACCCACATTCCTGGACTGTGGCTCCTGCTGATCAATAATGAGAGGCCGTGGGGAAGGCTTCAACTGTTTTGAAGTTTCTACCTCCTGGATCCTGAAGGCACTCAGCTGTTCAGAGAGGCCCAGAAAGCCCCCTGGGCCTGTGCCCCAGCTCCTGGGTCTGCACTGCTGGGCCTGGTCCAGCTGCCCGCACTCCGGTCGCCATACCCTGTGCGTTTGTAAGGGTTTCTCTGCCCCGAACACTGTGTTCTGCCCTCTGATAGAGAGTTAAGGTCAAAACAGAGTGTTCACAGGCTTCAGTCTTAAAGTCAGACAATGCGTTTGACTAGTAGCTAAAGAAATAAAATTTGCAGATTTGTAAAAATATAAATTCAAGCAGGATGGAGCTCTTCTCTGGACTTAGACTTCCCAAGCTCAGGTTAAGATGCTATTACTTACCGATTTGTCATCTCACAGTTCTGGAGGCTAGAAATCTGAAATCAAGATGTAGCAGAGTTATGCTCCATCTGAGACTCTAGATAGGATCCTTTCTGGTTCCTGGGGGTAGTCAGCAAAACTGGGCATTCCGTGGCTTGCAACTCTATCTTTCCAATCTCTGCCTCTGTCATCACAATGCCATCCTCTCATCATCTTCCCTCTGTGTATGTCTTTATGAAAAGTCGTCATTTATAAAGAGAACAGTCATGTTGATTAGGGGCTACGTTGAAGATTTTATTTTACCTCTATTATCTCTGTAAAGATTCTTTTTCCAAATAAAGTAAACTTCTGAGGTACTTGGGTTTAGGGCTTAAACATATCTTACTCAGGGGAAAGGGGACACAATTCAGCCCAAAGCAGTGATAACTTCTAACGAGGGCTTTTTGTGAACATCAAATTATTATACATGTAAAGCACTTAGAACATCTGTGCCTGGCTCATGGGAAGAACAATATAAATGTCAGGTATGTTTGCAAATAAAATCTTTGCTGTTACTGACTAAGCTTTCTTGTGTAGGAGAGGAAGGTTTGGAGTTACAGGTACCCCTCTTGTGAGGTATCACATGACTGCAGATATTTCATCCTATGCCATAGCAACAGTGAGTGATTGCTACTGGTAAACTGTTAGGGATTTTGTTGCTATTGTTAAGTTTACTTATGTGTTTTTCCATGAGTGAGAGAAACAGAGACAGAGAGGCAGTGACAGAGAAATAGCACCCCCCCCAACAGAGTCTTGATAATGAGATCCACTCTCAGCCCCAGCCAGTCCAAAATCATGGGCTTTCATGTACCCATTGTCCTCAAGGAGGTCTCTGGATGTGAACCCAGAACCTTCCTATAAGGGTCCACCTTGCAGAGAGCTGCATTTTACTGCCGTACCACTGTCTGACCACTACTGAGGATTCCTATCATTTTTTCACAAAGAAGAGTCTGTTGACAGTCTGACAATGGAACAATGGAAAAACACAATACCCTTTGAGGCTGACCCACATGGGGGTGTTCTGGGTTCACGTCCAGAGGCCTCCCTGGGTGCAACTGTGTATGTGCACTAGTGATGAGTGCGACTGGGGCTGGAGGTGAATCACAGAGTCAAGACCCTGCTCTCCCTCTTTCTGCCTTTCTTGCTTGTTCTTTCACTCAGGAGATAAATGGATAGACTTAAGGGGGGGAAAAAGTGTGCCCATGAGAATAGGCCATAAAGGGACATCATCTCTTCTGTTTCTCAGGTGGGGAAAGAAAAAAAAAGTTAAAAATCACTGTGGAAGCAGAATAACAACTCAGAGCCCAGCTTCTGTCGTAGCCAGTCGGGGCTTGATTTAGCACCATGATTTACTAGTTGTGTGTCCTAGGCAAATTCCTTAACGTCTCCAAAGCTACTCTCCACCTGCGAAGTGGGGATAGTAACAGGATCTGCCATGAGAATACCTGAAATTATACGTACACTTAGCACTGTGTCAGGCAAACGTTAAGTGCTTACTCTATGCGTGCAGCCATCACTTAATTGCTCTTTAATTTGTAAAATGCAAAACATTTACATGGTGCAGAGATAAAAAAGAAGATAGAACAAAGATTATACCTTGAGAAGTATTGCTTTCCCCACTCATAACATTTTCTGAGATTTGTGTTGTTTCATGTTACTTAGAACACTCCCACCTCCCACCTTACCATACCCCATAGGGAACCATATATATTAGTTCTTGTGTAACCTTCCAGTACTTCTCCAAGAGATTTAAAGCATGGAGTCATCTATCATCTTACTCTCTCCCTTTCGTTTATAAAAAACATCATATTACACATACTATCTCATTTTTGTTTTTGGTTTTTCCTTTTTAATGTATCCTGGAAAGCTGGCCTTGTAGTAGAGAAGGTTAAGCTCTGTATAGTGGGAGCAGGATTCCACATGGCCAGCTGTGGTTTGAATCCTGGCTCTGGTAGCTTAGAAAAATATGTGTGCGGTGTGTGCATGTCCAAAACTCTAAGGGAAAAGAGACATAGAAAAAGGATTGTGGTATGACCATGCCCCATTAAGATAATGCCCTCTTCTCTCTCTCTCTCTCTCTCTCTCTCTCTCTCTCTCTCTCTCTCTCTTTCTTTTTCTCTCCTCTTCTCTGTCAAGTGCACACACCCTCTTCTATAAATATCATTCTCTACAGAGCTGGTTAATTTTCTATTGTGTCGATAGACAGTTGCAGTAACCTCTTGTTGAATATGTTTAGGTTGTTTCCAATCTTTGTACTAGAAACAACTTTGCGATGAATATCTTTACAAATCATTTTGTAAGTGGAAGGTGCACTTGAGGATTCATTCCCAGCAGTGATATAACCGGGTCACAAAGTAATTACTTCTGTGACTTTGCTATTGCCCTACGACCCCGTGGGATTTGTATCACATTGCATGTTCACCAGTAAGATACGGAAAAGCTTGTTTCCCAGGCTTACCAACAGGAGCCATAGGCCAACTTTTTTATATTTGTCAAACTTGTGGGTTAAAAAAAAATGGTATCTTGGCATAGTTTTCATTTGCTTTTATTTTACTGGGTCAGGTTGCACATTTGTTATGTATTTCAAGGGTATATTTATATTTATGACTTGGCTTTTTAAAATTTTTGTTATTTTAATGTGTGTGTGTGTGTGAGAGAGAGAGAGAGAGAGAGAGAGAGAGAGAGAGAACTGTCTGTATCCTTTGGCCTTTTTTCTATTGAATCTCTTGTCTTTCTCTTACACATTTCTATGATTACTTTATAAATGAGTCTTTCATTCCTTGTATGAATTGTATTATACCCAAATTGTCATTCATCCTTTGACTTTATAAGTGGTGTGTTTTAATGTAGTTATAATTTTCATATTTAATTTATTTTTTACTTTTCAAATAGCTAAGAAGGGCTATTATATGAGATTTATATTTATGTGTTGGCTTTTTAAAATTTTTGTTATTTTAATGTGT